TTTTATACGAGGCCATCCTCACACATGAGGACGTAGATTTGGCAGTCCAGAAAATCAACATGTATTGCGACCACGCAAGAAGTCTGTTCGAAAAGGACCATCCAGGCGTTGATCCATGCAGCCTTGATGATATTAGGAACAATCCTCCGAATACGTATGACAGCTCCACAGAGGCTCCAACCCTGGAGGAATATAAGAGCATTAACAAGAGTCACATCAACATCAAGGACTCTAGAACAAGCCATCCGGCTTCTTTTCTCTCTCTTACTGGCTACGAAGACAAACTGGTGCTCGACGCACATTACGAGATAGTTCGCAATAGGATGGCCGGTGTTAACGAGAAGAGAGAATACATTGAAGGCTCAAACCCAGACAGCGTATCGCTAAACCTAGTGGTATTCAACTGGGGAAATATGGATCGAGCGCCGGTGCCCGCAGGGAATCCCAAAAAGAAGCTCAAACCTGAGAAGGGATTCGATTATCACCCTCTTATTGACATGTGCTTCAACAATTCAGCTCATATTACCCTCGTACTCGAGGCAGGAGCACTTGCGTCAGAGTATTCGATCGCAACCATGCGACAACATGAATACAGGGGGATGCTAATCCACTCTCCTCCCAAGGAGCCTGAGGCACCCTCGATGTATATTGGAGTCAAGGGTGACCCAACAACAGACATCGCTCTCGTCCACCACTTTTATCGTCATCGAACAATGAAACCTAAGAATGGTGGTCCCAAGAAGCGACTGTGGGCATGCCACGGTGCGGTATGCCGCCTCACCTTTGGGTACCACAGTACCATACCAGAGGCAAAAGAATGGGTCCACCCATATTCTGGCCAAAGGATGACGAGAGACGAGTTCATGCAGATTATCGGATATGACCCACTCAAGGGCAAAAATCCTGACAAGGATGGACCCACTGATGGCTCTTACCTCTCACCAGAGGCGTGCCTGACACTGTCGAACCTCGACCCCTCGCCGATTCTCTGTGAATGGAACGGCCATGTCGAGGGTGATGAGCCACCAGAGGAAGACTTTGAGTCATACGCAGAGATCTTCTCACAAGAAGCATCGAACGATCTTGACGAGATGTGGTGTACAAAAGGGCCTTACAAGGTCATCACCATCGCGATCGTCCATTTCAACTCATTCATGACTCATAAGGAAGAACAGAGACGCGAACTGGTGAACGCGTTCCTCAACGAGATTCTCCCTTTTAAACCGGATGTAATAGCGGGAGATCTCAATAATATTGCGTCGAGGCTCACCTTAAAAGGTGGAGACGTTCACCCGCGAAACAGTTTGTTTTCTCTATACCTGGAGAAGAAACTTGCAGCATTCAACAAAATAGCAGGAAGGCACTCACAAGTGCGACATCTTTGCTTGAACAACTCCGACCAGCACAGACTGGCACGTGCAGATCGTCTACCGGCGGACCCGGCGAAGAAAGTTGCTGACCTTGACTGTATCAACAGTTATATCCTTGACTGGAGTAAAACGCCGCACACGGCGTCACCTAGTCCAAGAGATGTTACTCCTGCCGCCGAAAGAACATACTGGGAGCGAATCTCAGATATGTGGCAGGACATGAACAATAACAGGGATATTGATATCCGTCTGTTTGTCTCAGTCAAGCAGTACTATTCAACTTTTTCTAACCTTGACCTATGGTTGAGTCCCTCTGACAAAGATTGGCACAGCCCTTTGGGCTTCACGATACAACCAATCCTTACAAAAGGGAAACACAACCGGTCAGATGCCCAGGTCCAGAAGATCGCTGACAAGCGAAAGGCTTACAAGCAGCGTAATGCTGAATACTGGGGTTACAACGATTCATTCGTTTACTCATCCGGCAACAGCTGGTACGACAAATCGCAACCATCAGGTAGCCATCACAGATATGGAAGATTCTGGGAGTGGCCACAGCCTGAACGTCCCAGCGAGCCTGAAGGTCCTCCTCCAAGAAGGAACCAGGAATCATCGTCCTCTTCACAACAAGATCTACCAAGATCAAGGTCCAGGCCTCAAAGAACCAATATTGTTGACAAGCTCAACATGTCTTTGGAAGAGCTGGATGGACTAGAAGAAGAACCGTCACCAACAAAAAGTGACATCGAAGAACACGAAAGAGAAACATCAAACTTGATGTCTGCTCAGAGAGATGAAGAGGAACAAGAGGACGAATCCTCCAGCCGGAGGAGAAGAAGGAAGGCATCGCGTCCACCGTCTGCTCCGAGCGGCAAGGCACTCAGAACAGCTGCTACAGCAGCGGGGTTGTCGGGCTGGTTCGGACACCGCAACCGAGGTGGAGCAAACGCAGAGTCTATCAAGACTGATGAAACTTCACTTCCAAACTCACTAACCAGTGAGCAGGACTTCTCCGTCTTCAGCATCGCGTGGAATGTGTTTCTGCTGCTAATGGGCTTACACTGGATGTGGAAGCAGATTACCAGGCCTCCTATCAGATGTATGGAGCGCCAACAACCAAAATCAAAAGCAGCAGCGAACCAAAGAGTTCCATTCCTCGAACCCGAGGATGAACCGCAGACGCGTGAACCTTTAGGACCCAACAGGGTCAATTCCGGAGAAACAACTGATCTGCGACCTATCTGGCATACTTCCCGAAGCGAAGTCTACCATCTCTCAGACAGCTGTTACCAGCTCAAGCAAGCAAGAGATGTTTGCAGGAAGGTGCTGTGCAAAAACTGCCTCCATGCAGTACAAGTTGCGGAGATTCGCAGGAACGATCCTTTTCAAAGAGGTGATACACGTCCACGTGGCACCGAAAGAGACATTGAGCGCTTCCAGACCTACGATGATGCAAGTACCACTCCTCATATGACGCAATTATTCAAAGATGCCTTGCATGCACAAATGGCCGAAGAAGCCATGCAGATTACCTATACATCGATCCCCAAGGGATCCCCGGCAAAAGCCAAAGGTACATCTGCACTCTCAAGTGCCGCATCGTCATCAGCGCCCAAGGCAATGCCACCAGGGCCTAACAAGGCAAACATGTCACCTCCACCTAAGAGTCCTCCGCCAAAGGCGAAAGGAACAGTACCTTCAGATCCTCCAAGACCAAAAGGTCCTACCAGAAGAGGAGGTCAAAATCGGCGCATTCAACGAAAGGCAGCCAGAGAAGCCCACAACAGTGGACTCTGCACCTATGCAGACGCTGCACTTAACGAAGCCAATCAAGGCCAGGCAATTAACATTACGTGCCGAAACATGGCAGCAAGACACGTCAGCTCTATCGATGCAACGGTAGAAGCAGCCGATCAGTTTACACAACGCGTGCTACAGCACGTAGAAACATATGATGAAGAGGAACCGTGGAGCACGGAGTTTCTACCAGTCGTGGAAGTCCTATTCAGGAACTTAAGCGGCGACGAAACAACTGTCATACATGACAATCAAACGGTAACTATGCCTCTTACGAAATACACAGACCTCCTCAGAATCGCACAATCATTGCGAAGCTCTATCCAGAGAGACAAGGAGGAAAGGAAGGAACATCTTGACACCATCCAAGATACTCTATCCAGAGTGGAAATCCTTCTAACAGCACTGAAGGACTCAAGGACAGTCTTTAACCAATTGGTCCATTCCTCACTAGAGATAGAGCGAAGAAATAACAATCTCAAAAATGTCCTCGAGACACTCTTTGACGACCAAAGCTCTGAGGAAGACCAATCAGAATCTGACAATGAAGAAGTCCTAACTCCTTCTGCACCACAGTACTGGAATAGCCTTTATGCCCACGCCTTATCTCCTTCAGGAGATGAAAGTGAAAGATCATGGGCGTCCTCAGACGGACAGCTTGAAAGAAGAAGGGCTGAACGGGCAAAGGCTAAGCAGCCGCAACCGGCAAAAGCCAAGGCAACTCCAGTCAGCTCACAAGCTGCTCCAAAGGCCGAGCCAAAGGCGACAACATCCAACCATGGATATGATACTGCAGACGCCGCCTTCACCAGGGCTGAGAACAGATTACTCGGAATCTTTTCAAGTTCCGAAGAAGATCACTCAGACCCGGATGAGCCACATCCGAACGTCTATGCTCGAGCCTATGATCCAAACCTGGATCCGAATCTGAGATAAGAAAGTTCTCAGAGTTTCACAACAGTGAATCACAGGGCTCTAACAAGAGCACAATGAAGGGCTGCATAATTCGGTAGAGAACATTACCAGACCTGATCCTGTACAGATGATCTCTCTGACCAACATGCATGAGTGTGTGCAAAAGGAGTGACCTCAACAGTGTACTTCAGTGCTATACCTAGCATAAACAATATGTTGTTTTTATAATGAGTCCAAACTCCGCAACTGTGACAGTGGGCATAACAGTATATGTGTGAATGTGCGGCCATGCTTCCGGTAAAAGAAAATTAGTGTCTGTTTGAAACCATAAACCTCTAAAGGGGTAGCTCTAACAGGTACCTACAGCAATGGCTGCATGCTCATACATATACATTCCGCTGCCCATTGGCTCACAGTGGTTTTACCATATTGAGACAAGACAAGCTCTCCTTGCGTAGCAAGACAAAACAACTACTGTCCGTGTGCAGGGCGCTGCCCTTTGATCCTTAGGGAATAACTGGTCATACACCTCCTCACAAGGAGTATCCCTTGGGGGTGTATCGGCACAGGGGGGAGGGGGAGCGGAGGGGGGAGGGGGGGAGGGGGAGGGCGGGGAGGGGGGGAGGCCTGCAAATCAGGTAAAATGAAGGGAAGCCGGGCAAGGGGGTGGCAAACGAATGCAAAAAGCGGGTGTCTCCAAACTGTTGGACTGTAAGAAAGGTGGAGGGAAGCTGAGGTAACCCTCAAGACGCCTGGGTGTGGCCTCGGCGGATTATATACACATGGTAAATCCTCCATGGACAGTCGTTGCTTGCCATATCCACAGAGTTTCAGGTCACAGCTGCAGGGCCCTGGTTCTGATTCCTTATTTTTTATGTTAGCATTGGACTTGTGTGTCTGTCGTTTTGATTCGGCCAGGCCGCGAAGACCTTCAAGCGCTTCAGGCTCGAACACGCGCTTGGCCTGATGGGAACAGTGAAGCTTCAAACCGCTGCGATGGATGTTTGGGCAGAGAGCTCGAGCTAATTCCCCAAGACACTGCAAGTTCGGATGGCAGGCCTGACTTCAAATGTGGAAGCCGCGTTCCGCTGCTCCCCGATGAGGACAGTCTCTGCCTGTGTGAGTGGCTCTGTCGGAATCCCCGAAACAAACGAGCCAAGTGTGGAAGTTTAGTGTCGTTTGGCCCGAAAGCTTCATCCAGGAATGGAGAACGAGAAATGCTGGAGCTATAGCGATCGAGACGTCGTGCACTGTCCAGGGTTTTCGATCAGACAATGGCACAATACAAAGATGGCAACAACAACGGCGCAATGCATGTTCAATACTGCGAGCTCCTACAAGAGCGAGACCGAGAGCGGTTGCAAGGAAAGGCCATGCTCGATGCAAGTGAAGTGATCCATGGAGACCCCGAGCACTGAAGCAAAACCATGAAATGTCCGAATGAGACTGAAACTTCGAGTGTGATCCTTCAGTCCTAAGAACAGATCAAGGCCGGCAAGAGGTGATGGTTGCCCTCTGCTGAGCGCTAACCAACGCCTCAAATCATGCTGGATTCCGGTTGAGTGCATGCCGAAGTGCAGCTCCGAAGTCCCATGCCACCACGTAGTTGTGTTACTGCACGTTTCGTTTGTGCGTGATGCACGTCCGCGCCCCGAGACTATGCCACGGAAAGGAAGTGGTGGAGTGCGATCGACTCAGCGTCACGCCCTGCTGCAGCGCGTGACTGGCCTGCGGTGGAAAGACAGTGAGAGGTAGACAGTGAAGCTTTCGATGTCGTACATTTGTTTCAGGTAGGATCGTGCTGTAGGGTGTCGTTTGTCGCTTGGAAGTCCCCCACTTAGCCGCAGCTTAGCCGTGCTTGTTACTCAAAGCAACCTTTGATGCTGCGATTTACCTGCTAGGCAACTCTAGATGATATGTCAATGCCCCAACAAGCACCTGATAAGCTGACTTTGTGGGATCCGGACTGCCAAGGTTGGGTTGGTGCGGGAAGACCAAAGGACACTGACGCATGGCACGAATGGACCGGGCTTAGGGGAATTGCAGTTCTGCGCTTCGGGGGTCGGGTTTGGATCCATGCTGTGGGAACCCAGGAGACAACAAAGGCTGTGTCGGTTCTGACATGGATTTGCAGATTGGCAGCAGCGGGACAAGTAGATTCTGAGTAGGAGTGTTCCGCTGGCATAGACCATGGACCTACTGCGCATGTCTGTGGCATTCTGCGACGCATCCCGACTAAGAGTCATTGGCTGCCAGGCAAGTGCGCGACCTGCATTGACTATCGCAAGGAGGGTCAGAACCAGATCAACTCCAAGCGTTGATGCTCCTTCGCGGGACGCGAGCTGCCAAAGGGGATGGACCCGAGAATGCTCGAAAGTACAATCTCCGGGGTCGGCAGCATTGAAGTCAGCTCACGTGACACCCAGTCCTGGATCAGACTCTCCAAACGAGAGATCGGCCAGCGTCTGCTTGTGACCCGGCTGCCATCGAGTAGTGATCCAGTCGTCTAGAATATTGCAAGTTATAGAGCTGTTCCTTTTCATCCACGCCTTGCTTTCAGCATGACCGGGTCCCAAGCACAAGAGATGCGCTTGCAGCGCACCTGCAGCCTGCAATCCTGAGGGTCGAGGCGCGAAGTTCAAAAACCCTCGGCAGATGTTCTGAACGATTTCAGCTGCGAGTACGAAACAAGAAGCGA